TGAGTTTGGTTTGGTTTTGAATCAGCCTTAGGGAAACTTTGTTGTTGTTGTTGTTATGTTCCGTCAAGTCGAACCCGACTCATAGCGACCCCTGCTTGGATTTCCAAGGTGGTATCACTACGGAAGTAGATTGCCCAACCTTCCTTCTGAGGAGTGGCTGGTAGGTTTGAACTGCCAGCCTTCTGGTTAGCAGTCAAGTGCCTTAGGCACTACGCTACCAGAGCTCCTTACGGAAATTTTAGAAACAGAAATTTGTTGCCATTGCTTGAAGGACAAATAGAAAAGAATTGCAAAAAAAGATGTATTTCCTGAGCACACCTCAACAATAAAGACTCTATTATACCATGTATTGCTCATTTTGGGAAAGCTAAGGAATCTTTTAATTAAAAATATTCCCTACCTTCTACCAAACACATTTCATCAAATCACATTAAAATTTAAATCTATCTAAAGAGTTTGAAGCTCTTTGAGGGCAATGGAGCTATTCAGAGTATGTTTTGAACACTTCATGTTGAATCATTACGATTCTTTGGAATCATAAAATTTATAAACCAGCAAGAGGCCTTGGAAAATTAGCAGTGTGTGGCTTGAATCATTCTATTGTCTCATCATAGGTTGTAGTTCACTGCTGCTGCTTTGAAGCAGGGATTCTCATTGCATATTCAAGCCAAATGCGTGCAGTATTAGAGATAAATTGCTGCAGTTAATTGCCATGGGTAGATCTTTAAAAACAATTCAAGCATCTGAAGGTTAATAAAATCGGGTAATTAACAATAAAGCAGGATGCTGCTGTTATAACTGCCTGGTGCTGATTAGCACATGTGGATAAAACCCTGTCATCTGCTTTAAGTGCTGTGACACGAGCTGTCTTCTAATTAAACTGCCATGGCTGCATTGTCCAAATACAAAAGAAAAATGTGAATAATGGTGAGTGATCTAAGATCTTTGCATTTAAAGCAGACATTTGAGCACGTGCCTCATGGTCCTAAGAACACAAATGGCGTTAAACACTTTTCTTGCTTACTTAGGTGCCTGACTAAGGAGGATGTTAAGAAGTGTAAGGGAAAGGTTCTCATTAAGCATTCACTGCCTCAAAGAAGGCCCTACATCCCCTACCAGGATCACTGTCAGTGCCTTTCCAAAAGCCTCAGGGTTGGCTGCAAGGCCCTGACCATCCTTTTCAGCACCTTAGTAATGCATATGGTCTTGCCTTCTGCCTCTTCTGATGAACACAAATAATGACTACCCTGTCAACAACAATAAGCTCATCCTGGCCTCTGGCCCACCCTCCCCTGGGAGGACCAGCATCATTTCACTCAAGATGGATGAGCTCAGCTGAGCCATACATCTCATACAATTAGCTCTTGGCTGGGGCCAAAGCCGTTAGCACCCAAGTACAAGCATTTGAGAATGACTAGTTTTTGACTTTGCAATGATTTCAGGCCTTCATGACACATTTAGGATATTGACCCAGGGACAATGACCCAGGTCTGCAGCTGTCTCTTCAAAGCTGCATCAGTTGTTTTTAACTGAAGTAAAATTCACCATTTAAATTATTTTAAAGTGTACGATTCAATCGCTTTTAGTACTTTCACAATGTTGTGCAACCTGCACCACTATCTAATTATAGAACATTTTCATCACCCCAAAAAGAAATCCCATATTCATTCCTCTCACCGTGACAACCACTAAACTGCTTTTTGTTTCTATGGATTTGCCTATTCTGGACATTTTATATAAATGGAATCATAGAATATGGGCCTTTTGTGTCTGGCTTCTTTCATTTAATACAATGTTTTCAATGTTCATCCATGTCTCAGTATCTCATTCCCCGCCCCCTTTTTTTAAATTTTTATTGTGATTTGGGTGAAAGTTTACAGAGCAAATTAATTTTCCAGACAGCAGTTCATACACATTTTGTCTCATGACATTGACTGCAATTCCCCACAATGTAACAGCTCTTTTCTCACTTCCTCCCCATAGTTACTTCTTCCCTGTGTCCCCTCCCATGCACTCCTGCTCCCTGAGCTGTCTCCCTGTGCAAACACTGCCCTTCTGTTCTCCCATGATTGATCGCTCCAAGAAGTGTGTCTACCTGATGTAATTATTTACCCCATATGCCTGTCTATTGTTTGGCTGGAAGCCACAGGAGTGAGTTCAATTCCAGACCTGAAGGGGTGGCTAGGGGCTATAGCATCAGGGGTCTCACTAGGCTCTATCAGACCAGCAAACCTGGTCTTTTTTATATTTCATTTCATTTTATTGTTGAATAATATTTCATTATATGAATAGATACATTTTGTTTATCCATTCATCTGTTAATAAATATTTGGGTTGTTTTCCATTTTTTGGTTATTAATAATACTGCAGTGAACATTCATGTATGAGTTTTTGTGTGGACATGCATTTTCAGTTCTATTGGGTGTATTTCTAGGAGTGGAATTGCTGGGCCATATGATAATTTTATGTTTAAGTTTTTGAGGAATCACCAAACTGGTTTCCACAGAGTCTGTACTGTTTTGCATTCCTACCAGCAATGGATGAGAGTTCCAAATTCTCCATATCTTCAGCTACACTTGTCATTTTCTATTTATTACTATTATGTCTTTTTTTTTTTTTTTTTTTTTT